TTGACCACAAGAGGGAGCAAAACACATGCCCCTCGCATTCCGATTTATTCTTTTACTCCCCCCACCCCTTTGCAAACTAGTCTGTTTTTGTATTTTGGTTTTAAAATTAAAGTCCAAATTGGGTACTTTTCAATACAAGGGGTAAAAATAATTTAGAATAAGGACAAACCTTCTGTTTCCCCCATGGGGATGGACTTGTGTGGCTGCCCCAGCTTAGATTTCCACAGTGGCAATGGGGTCTCCATATGGCAGGATCCCCCACCCCAGCCACCAGGGGCTTTTCAAATTTTTTAAAAATTAGCAACTATATATTGTTATAGCACTACCTAAGTCTCCAGCTCCTTTTCATTGTGGAAATAAAAGGGGGAAAGTATCTCTCTCCAACCAAGGGGGATAGTCACTTTTAGTACAAAAGCTTGCAATTCAGAGAACCTGATATATGGTTATAACCAGGGGTCATTTTGTAGAAAAGAGGTACAAGAGCTCATTAGCATAACTTATTAGCATAACTTATTTTTGCCGGGGGGGGGGGCTCTGCAACTTACCTGGCTGCTTCTTGCTCCTCGTGGTCCAACTGAGGGCTGCTGGGAGCAGGGTGTGTGGCTTCTTGCATGTGCCCACCCCTTGGGCTCTATACTGCCGGAGCTCCACTCCTGTGCGCTCCTGCAGGAAATGACCCCTGGTTATAACCAATGCTTCCTCTAAGGTGTGGAGTCCTGTGAGCAAAAATTCTGCTTCGTGAGCTTCTGGCATCAAAGTCGAGAGCGAGCGATCTGGCTGCTGCATAAATTAGTTTGCTCTGGATCCCTCCTTCCTGAGCCAAGGCAAAAAATGTGTGAGCCGGAGGCTAAGAAACTGTGAGCCGGCTCACACTAACTCAGCTTAGGGGGGGTGGATGCTCCTTCGCTGGATGTTTTCAAGCGAAGGCTGGACGACCATCTTTCAGGTATGTTGTAGGTATGTAGGGCTCTCTTTCGGCTCTGCTCCTGCAGAGTGCAGGGGGTTGGACTAGATGACCTGCACGGTCCCTTCCAACTCTAACATTCTATGATTCTAATAAATACATGTATTTTTGTGTATTATAAGTCTCAACTAGGTTTTTAATATTGGCCCTTTATCAGACTTCTTTCTTACCCCTGTGGTTCTTGATTCCAGTTTTTGGGTCAAGTCTGTTTTCCCCTCCCCGCGTCTTACTGCTTTGAAGTAGCATGCATCCTTATCACCTCCGAGAACCCAGATTTCCTTGGAACTCAGCTTTCACAGCTCATCTTTATCTTACATGGGGGGGGGGGAGATGGCATAGTAAGGGGGGGTTGCTTGCTGTTGTTTTTGGCAGGTGGAGTCCTAAGGGGTGACTGGTCCTGGGTCTTTGGGGCCCCTCCTTGAACCTTGTATATTTCTTGCCTTTGCGCCTTTAGCCTCAGTTCTAAAACAACCAGTGTCCAGTCTGGATCCTATCAGTGTCTCAATAAACCTATCATTCTCCAGAGTGAATGTTGTTGGGAACCGATTTATCCAGGAGTCTGACACCCAGCAAGCGTCAAGGCAGAGCAAGGATCGGAACCCAGGTCCGACACTGACCACTCTACCCACACTGGCTCTGAATCTCAGCACTGCAGATTAAGTTTCGGAGCCAAGCGTCTTTCGACTGCGTGATCAGTCCTGACAATCAAAACGCGGCGACCAGCGTAGAGAAAAATATTAATATTTTAATGAAGGGCTTTTTCCAAGCATCTCAGCCTCAAAAACAAAAGGACGTCCCAGGAATGTCACCGAGCCCCTTGAAACCTGGCCGTGAACACAGAAAGGGACCGGACATCAACGGCACTTCCAACCAATCCGTGGCACCTGTTTTAAACACCAAGGAACTGAGAGCCACGTCACAAACTTTGGTGCCCTCTATGAAAGCCACCAGTTTATATGCGGTACGGAAAAACAAAATAACCACTTACTCCCTTTCGTAGGACTTACTAGCAAAACCAGAACTGATAAGAGGAGGCTGTCAGGCCGCCCAACGCTATTTTCTTCCAGGATCGTGTCCCAGGACCACACACCTCCCACACGCATCACAACAAACTACAAATATTGTCCTACAAGTGAAGGTGGCTGTGCCACAAACCAATTATTTTCACTAGAAAACTACAGTCATCATCCTTTTCCTATCCTCCACCTTATGCCTAATTTGCTTCAGTGGGGTTAAGCCGTCAAAATCCCCTTTGATAGCCAAGAAGGCGCTAGACCCACCAAGAGAGGACGGCTATTTAGAAACAGTGGGAAGCCACTTATTTTGGCGTGAATCCAAGTGATGTCCACCAAATGTCACCGAAGGAGTTAAGGTCTGGGGCATTTCCCATGGACTCCCTTCTCTCTGTCCACAGCAACATCATCTTTCCTGCACTTTGTTGCTAGGGTTGCCAAGTGGCACTTACCCAGGCGGCTCCCGGTGTGTGCGCGTGCAAAGCGTGCATGCACCGCATGCACGTCACTAGGAAGTGACGTTATGACGCCGGGCACGCTGGGGGCGGGGACACGACCATACAAGGGAAAACCATAGAGTTTTCCCTTGTATGGCCGTGGCCCCACTCCCAGCGTGCCCGGCGTCATAGCGTCACTTCCTGGTGACGCGCACACCGGGGCGGGGTTCCCCCCGGGGCCCGATTCCCCGGCATCGGGGAACGGGCCTCTGGGGCGGGGGATTCCCCGCCCCCCGAGGCGACTTGGCAGCCCTATTTGTTGCCGGGAGAGGCAGGTCAGACTTCCTTCCCCAAAAGATGAGAAGTAACAAAGAGCAGAAGGATCCTTTTTCTGTGCAATCCCCAGTAAAAGTCTCAGTCCTCCAAGTGTTTGTTCCAATGTGTACCCTGACAGGCTGATCTGGTTTGATTACACCCAAGAACTCTCTGTCTCTGCACCACATTTCTAGTTTGTGCAGACTGTGAAGTGAGGGCTAAGGTAAAACGCGACCTCTGATGCAGAGAACAGGGACCGGATCAGGAAAACCTAATCTTATTATTGGTCGGAACCATACCGTACCCTCAGAACAGCCATCTCCCAGAGAGAAAGCTACTGAACTTCTTCTGGTCAACACTAGCTTTCCTCAGTTTACAGAAATAAATGAATGGGGGGAGGTGCGCATTCTTTAAGGGGTTGACGAAGGCCACAAATCCAGTTTGGCCTCGTCCCACCCTCAGTGAAGTACTTCTGAACGCCACAATTTGGGGGAAATAGTCAACAAAACGGCAGAATGACGGGTTCACATACAGCGCCTACTGTCTCAGAAATGGAGGCTTAAAGACAAGAGACCAGAACAGGCGTGAGGAACGTAAACAACTACATCTACAGGACAAACCAGAATTGGTTTTTGTAACTGTCATGGCCTTCACCTATGGAATCCTGGGATTTGTAGTTCTCTGGCACCTGGTCCCCAATACAGATATTTCCCAAGATTCTGAAATGTAAACGCCATGATAGCTAAACCAGTGTAGGGTACAGTCACTTAAATTCCCTGAAATAATAAACTGAGGGAAGGCCGCACCTGCATTCTGGTACCCAGTATGCCTCAAAGGGCATTTCTTCTCAGGTACACAAAACAGGATAGAAGCTACAGGTGCTTCCATTAGAGATGTATTTTGCTCCCAAAGGGGCATAAAAATGCAGACTCGCTACCCAAGCAGGCAGGAGGTAGCGTTGTCGTCGCCAACCCAGGGGCTGCGCCTTAGAATTCAAAATCTTCGTCCGCCATCGCTATGGCCCAAGCAAACTTCTCCCGCTGGGTCTTGTTATAAATCTTCTCAATGGGCACGCAAAATTTTTTACACCTGGAGGCAAAGACAAAAAAATATATATATCCGTAATTCCAGCTGTGTTGAATTGATGTCACATATTCTCCTTCACTGTTAATCATATGCAGACCTGCACGCTAAACATGTAAACTTGTTTTAGAGCCAGTTTGGTATCGTGGTTAAGTGCGCGGACTCTAATCTGGGAGAACCGGGTTTGATTCCCCACTCCTCCACTTGCACCTGGCTGGATGACCTTGGGCAAGTCAGAGTTCTGTCAGAGCTGTTCTTGAAAAAAGAGCAGTTTCTGTCAAGAGCTCTCTCAGCCCCACCTACCTCACAGGCCGTGTTCCCTCTAAGCTGAGTTAGTGTGAGCTAGCTCACAGTTTTTTAGCCTCCAGCTCACACATTTTTGTCTTAGGTCAGGAAAGATGGCTCCAGAGCAAAGTAATTTAGGCAGTAGCCAAATCGCTTGCTCACATCTTTAATGCCAGTAGCTCACAACGTAGAATTTTTGCACACAAGACTCCACAGCTTAGCAGGGAGGGGAAGGGAAAGGAGTTTGTCAGCTACTCTGAGACTCTTTTGGGTAGTGAAGGGCGGGGTATAAATCCAATTTCCTCCTCCTCCTCCTCCAGTTTGGTGTAGTGGTTAAGTGCGCGGACTCTAATCTGGGAGAACCGGGTTTGATTCCCCACTCCTCCACTTGCAACCTGCTGGATGACCTTGGGCAAGTCAGAGTTCTGTCAGAGCTGTTCTTGAAAAAAGAGCAGTTTCTGTCAAGAGCTCTCTCAGCCCCACCTGCCTCACAGGGTGTCTGTTGTGGGGAGGGGAAGGGAAAGGAGTTTGTAAGCTGCTCTGAGACTCCGAATGAAAGGCGGGGTATAAATCCAATCTCTTCCTTCTTCTTTTTAGCTGGAATGTCGGGCCTTTCTGATCACATTACGGTTTATTGTCTCTTGAGCTACTGCTTGCCCAGAGTTACTGAGAAGATAGCCCTGTTTTTACAGTCCGCAATAAAAGTCTGTCAGGAAAGGTTACTGGATTAATTTTCTTTTCAAAATGCCACATAAACTTTTATGTAGTTGTCTTTGCTACCCCTCTTTGTTCAGCTGCTGTTTATCGTTTCTGTACATGCCGATAAAGGTGAAAAGCGCACCGTAGGAGGGCACCTGAGTATCCGAACTGAACCCCCTCCTCCCCCAGGTCGGCCTCCTAGGGTTGCCAAGTGACTGGCTGGCTGCAAAAGGGGAGCGGTGGTCCCATTCCGGGACATTCGCGTGCGCGCGCTGGCCGCAATGACATCACCCAGAAGTGACATCATCACCACTGGACACGTCGCTGGGGGACGCTCTAGCAACCACTCTATGGTACCATGACTGCTAGAGTGTCGCCCGGCGACATGCCCAGCATGATGACGTCATTTCCGGGTGACGTCATCGCACCAGGCACGTCGGCCCAATCTGGCCCCACCAGCTGGATCCGGACCGGTGGGTTGGGGGCACTTTGAGTGGGGGAACCCCTGCCCCCCCCGGGACCTGGCAACCCTACGGCCTCACCAAACCCTCCCGGCTGCCCCTCACCCACCAGGCCACACTGATGCGAGGATCCAGGTAATTCAGCTTGGAGGTGCCCAGGGCGATCTGCTTGTTCTCCTCCTTGTCGGTGGCCTGCATGTTCAGCTTGCACAGCTGCTCCTCCGTCTTCTCCACCAGTTTCCTCTTTTTTTCCACGGTGCTAGTTGAAAAGAAGCGACAGTTAGAACCGGATATGGAACAACTGATTGGTTCAGCATAGGAAAAGGAGTACGACAAGGATGTATATTGTCGCCTTGCTTATTTAATATATATGCAGAGTACATCATGCGAAATGCTGGCCTGGATGAATCACAAGTGGGAATTAAGATTGCTGGGGAAAAGATCAACAACCTCAGATATGCAGATGATACCACTCTGATGGCAGAAAGTGAAGAGGACCTCAAGAGCCTCTTGCTCAGGGTAAAAGAGGAGAGCACAAAAGTGGGCTTGAAGCTCAACATCAAAAAAACTAAGATCATGCCATCCGGCCCCATCACTCCTTGGCAAATAGAAGGGGAAGTCGTGGAAGTAGTGACAGACTTCACGTTCCTGGGATCCCAGATCACCGCAGACTGTGACTGCAGCCATGAAATTAAAAGACGCCTGCTACTTGGGAGGAAAGCGATGGCGAACCTAAACAGCATGATAAAAAGTAGAGACATCACCCTGCCAACAAAAGTAGAGACATCCCCCTGCCAACAAATGTCCGCATGGTCAAAGCAATGGTATTCCCAGTAGTCATGTATGGCTGCGAGAGTTGGACTATAAGGAAGGCCGAGCGCCGAAGAATAGATGCTTTTGAACTATGGTGCTGGAGAAGACTCTTGAGAGTCCCTTGGACTGCAAGAAGATCAAATCAGTCAATCCTAAAAGAAATCAACCCTGACTGTTCCCTGGAAGGCCAGATAATGAAACTGAAGCTCAAATACTTTGGCCACCAAATGAGAAGGGAGCACTCACTGGAAAAGACCCTGATGCTGGGAAAGATTGAAGGTCAAAGAAGACGGGGACGGCAAAGGATGAGATGGTTAGACAGTGTCA